TTATTATGCGCCGAAATATTTATAATATTAGGCCCAGCTGGGGCCTAATATTTCGATCATTCTTCTTTATCCTGTGAATACTCAACAAGTGTCAGGAATAGGTCCTAGTTCCTAATAATCTGTGCTTAACCCTCGCCGGACCTATTGGTTTTCTACATATGCACCGGCCGAGGGGGGGGGGGGGACGGGTACGACCCCCCTCGCCGTTTCGCCCCTGGTGGAGCTAGCGCGTCGCGGAAAAAACGAGCGTGTGCGCCGTTACGAGACGCAGAGATTGGTACCCGATTTTAACCCGCGACCTGGTGGGGGGGGGGGCTATTTTTTGCCCCCCTCCAGACTTTTCGATATATCTCCAGAACCGCTGCGCCGATCGTCACCAAACTTTCAGTACCCTCCCGGACATCAATTTTACACATTGTGACCAAAATTTTTTCCAAAAACTATGATAGGTTGGCCGGAAATGACGTCAGAGTGACGTCATGTTCTGCCGTTTTCGACCCAAAAAAGGGTTTCGCGGGAAGAGCTGTCAGGCCTATAGCTTTGAAAATACAGAAAAATGATAAAGACATAAATGCTGTAGATTGGACAGGGCTACAAAACTGCTATCTCGGATTTTTGAAATTTTTGGATTTTGACCCCCAAAAATCAAAAAATGGGTTTTTTGGATATAATAATTGAAAAATCCAAAAAGTTTTTCGAATTTCGCAAAAACCGGAATATATGTGATAGTCCTTACCGCCTTCCATCCACAATCCACATACCAAATTTGAGATTGATACCTCTTTTTTTGGCGAAGTTATAGCGAAAAAAACTGTTCAAAATTGATGACGTCAAATTTTCAAACTCAATTTTTAGCAATTCTAGACCCCGTAGCAAAAAACAAAGACCATCATTAGACTCCCCGTGACGAGCTGCATCGAATCAATACCCATTTTATGCAAAACTATCAACTTTAAAATTTGACCTTTTTTGGCCTGACCTTGACCTGACCTTGACTTGAACTTCACCAGAGAGTGACCTAAGCCGTACCTGATAGTCTTATAACCAACACCATTGAGTTGGAAATGAAAAATTGGCCATAAAACATGCATCACACAACCTTAGTAAAGTTGGGCTCATGTGACCTGACCTGTGACCCTTGGTGACCTGACCTGTGACCTGACCTGGTATTGCCAGTGACCTCTAATAGCAACATATCTACTAGGCAACTGACGCCCTACCGCTGATTCTCGACAAAATGCGTTTTCCTCTGTGTTATAGCGCATTCCCTAGAAGACCCGTGTACGGTGAAACATTTCATCTTTGACCTGACCTGTGACGTCATCGGTGACCCCGAGGCCCATGAAATTTGGTTTCCTTCGACAAATTTGACAGGTCTTTCGAACGCCGTTTGAATTTTGCGGATCCGTCAAGTAGTTTCGGAGATACGAGGGGGGGGGCAAAAAATAGCCCCCCCCCCACCAAGTCGCGTTATAAACAGACCCCACCAGGGCGCGGGTTAAGGTCCTAGGTCAACGGGTGACTTCTGAAGTTAGGTCAAGTGCCCCAAGGTACGGTTCAGTTTTTGGTGAATAACTTCGAAAAAAAAAACGGCCGCAGAACCGCGATTTTGGCAGCATCGTGTTCGCCTCGCTCAGGCGCGTCGAATGATATACTTTTTGTTTGGGTCAGGTCAACTTGCAATTACCGTAAAATGGGGTGTTAAGGGACAGTTTTGAGGTGTTTTGTTATATAACTCAAGAAGGGTTGGAGATAGAAGTATCAAATTGTCAGCATTTTATGTGGAATTTGGTGCTTTACATACCTGCCACATTAAAGTTTTTAAGATTTATACCTGCATATTATTTTTTATTATTTTTCATCACTGTCCCTTAGCACCCCAATGTGGGGTGTTAAGGGACACATATATTATTCCAAGAAATGGTCATCAAATGCCCACAATTGGGGTGTGGAAGGGCACACAATTTATTTATTGAAATGTTTTGCATATTCTGTCACAAAACAAGTCAGGTTCATTCACCACTAATGACATTTTTAGCCAATTACGTGTAATGCAGTTTACGCTTGTGGAAAACGTGCTAATTATAAGGTAAACAGAACCAAAAAGTAATCTTCTGTCATCAATAAAAACCCATGTTGAAGCTAGTCATTATTTATTTAAGGTCTGACACTGAAGTTTTTATTGAACCTTCTCAAATTAGGAAGTTAATATGACTCAAAGTTTTTCCCATGCAACTGTCCCTTAACACCCCACTGTCCCTTAACACCCCATTTTACGGTACTTTACTTTAAAGTAAAGTACCTAATTGAAGTAATTGAATTGATTGAATTGATTGAAAGTAGAGTAACTTTCAATTACTTTACTTTAAAGTCACTTGTCATTATGTTGCCCTCTTTGTTTTAGCCTTTTTATGATGACATCATATTTACCTACACCAGTCTCCATTGACCCATCATTGTAAAAGAGAGTGTTGAGATGTTTTGTTACATCTCTTGTTGTGTTAGAGATAAAAGCATGAACTTGCCAGCATTTTATGTGGAATTTGGCGTTTTCCATGCCTACTGAAAGAAAACTTAATGAAATTATATTTAGATATTATTTTTTATTTTTTCTTCCCTGTCCCCTAGCACCCCACATCCACCTCAAAATATGCATGTATCCGGAAAAGAGGAAGAGGATGATGAATGAATGGGTGGATTTGCACAAGTTTTTCAGGAAACATGTGCAATACATGTGACAATACACCTATGCATTCATTTTCCCTGTACACCCACTAGTTTATGTGGTACACACAGAGTTTTGGAGATGTTTCAATTTTGTGAAAATGTAGCATGATTTTCAAATCCATTTTTGAACCAAATCACTTGCATGAAAAGCCATACCATTCTGTCCTATGGTCAAGAGCAAAACAGTATCAACTACCACACTGAAGTTTTTATTGAACCTTCTCAAATTAGGAAGTTAATATGACTCAAAGTTTTTCCCATGCAACTGTCCCTTAACACCCCACTGTCCCTTAACACCCCATTTTACGGTACTTTACTTTAAAGTAAAGTACCTAATTGAAGTAATTGAATTGATTGAATTGATTGAAAGTAGAGTAACTTTCAATTACTTTACTTTAAAGTAAAGTAAAGGTTGGTAAATTGGTAGGTAGGTTGTAGGTTGGTAGGTTGGTAGGTAGTTCTGCAAATTATTTTGATTTCAGACAATTGGAAATAATATGAGGCCCGGTCGGAATCGGCTGCTGTGCTGTTGTCAGCTGAGATCCAAGCCCCTGATTGGTTGAGATGTTGATGACGTATCACACCTTCCCGCGCTGTGACGTCATACCTCTGCTGGGAGATGGCAGCAGCACGTCAGCCGAAATTCAAAGTGGCTCGAAAGTGGCGCATGTAAGTCAAAGCGCAGCCTTATAGTGCAGGTGGTTAGTTTTATGTACGATGTTTTTGACGTATTTTGTATTCAATATTTTTCGCGAAAGATAGTAATTATTTCTTTTTCATGGCGCAATGTGCGAGTCAGCCTGAAAACAGTATCTTCAAATCCAAATGCCAGTACCGCCTCAATTATCAATCCTGTAATTTTTTCTATAGCCTCAGCAAATAAACCTTAGAAATATAATGTAACGGAAGATAGGAAGTCATTGAAAAAAGCATGAAAATGCTACCTCTCCTCAAGTCTCAACCCTATCCGTCGAGCGCCATCTTTGGCTGACGTTTTCTGTCAGCCGATTATGAACAAGCCCATCAGCAGCGCGGTCACGGTGTGGGCGGGGCTTATTCTCAGCTGACAAAGTTCTGTCAACCGATTCCGACCAGGCCTAAGGAAAATCAAGAGGTAGGTAAGTACCCGTCTCAATCTGCATTTACTACCAGTAGGTAGGGTAGGTACCTCACAAGGCGCTATCTCTGTACCTACCTACCTTGTTTAGCAAGGTCTGCAAACAAGTCTCCCTTTCAGTCTCAATGAGGGAACTTAAAATGGATCAACAGCCTCCACGAAAAATAAAAAAGTGTTTGGACTTCGTTTATCCCGCGCGACGGTCGCGGTATAACAAATCACACAGCGCACAGCTAAGCGACATAAAATTAACAACCAACACCCAAAAAGTTACTTGCGATTCATAATTACCATGTACTGCTGTTCGACAATGATCCCCGCCAAATGATGTCTGAACGAGTTACCTAGCAACCTGGATAAATAGAAGGAATCTTTTTGAATTTTGCGACCAGTTGCCTGGTTACTCGCATTACAACGTATTCGGCAATGATTTTGAACACAGTACTCCCTGAATTGTAGCCATGATTGCCGCAAATGACGGAGGGTGTAGGCAGCTAAAATAGCTTTCGTGTTCGAGCTTATGGATATTAATATGCATTGCCAATATTATTTCGAAACTGGCCTTCATTCAGTCATATGAATTCAATATGAAATTCATTCAATATGAAATTGTCAAAAGCAAGGGCATGCGAATTGGTGCAGGAATCGAGATATTGATGTAGGTGGGTGGTATTTATGTTAGATGCTTCTCGATTGCTATCGATGATCGGATTACCTACGCCTTGTCGAACTCGAAGAATCGGATGATCGGATTGTTCAGCTGAATAAGAAATCCAAGAGTAGGTATTGACCGTAAGACACTACCAACCGTTGCATCGAGGTCCAAGAAATCTCAGAAACAATCAAAACCTAAAATCCGCGTATTCGGACGTTCGGCAATGGTTATGTAAGCGTCAAGCAATAAGCAGGCCTCTCGGTAAGACCGTAGGATTCCGGATCGACCAGGTGATGGAAGCAGTGGCTCATTTCAGAGTACCAACGTCCTCGATAGAAACACTACCTACTGCATCTCCCATGTCCAGCGGTCTTCCCAGCAAGCTGTCGCACAGGAGCAGTGTCGTCGACCGCCCCCACGAATCTCACGGGCATTGTCTGAGCCCGCTTAAAAATAACATCTGAAATCTTAGAGACATCTGCAATTTGTCTGCAATCTTCATAACGGGCGATTGATGGCAAAAAGTATATTAAAACTTCTAATCGCTTTGAACGGAACGTCCTCATATCGACTCCACGCAACACCTTTGCTGCATAATGAAACATCAATTGAAAACAAATACAGCCAAAGTCGAAATACAATATTGTAAACAAATGTTTGCTGTCCGACAACGTAACGTTGTCTAAGATATGGGTCGTGACATCTTGTAACTGTTAATACCGGAAGCTGCCATTTGATGCGGCCGACATAGGTGCTAGCGGCTAATAGGTGCGCCGTCCACGATCACGAGCCGTGTAGGTATTTTTGCAGCCATGGTGAGTCCTCGTACAGCTCAGGATCGCAAAGCTCCAGTGCTGTCCTCTTGTAAAAGTAGTAGTGCAGGACCGATACTGAAACATATAATGAGGATGAGGCAAGACAATCACATACTGTACAAAAGGACGTCTGCTTTTCAGATATTTTACGCACTGAACAGCCTGGCTTGAGCGACGCATTGCGTAAATACCGATTGCAAATCATATACTGTACAAAAGGACGTCTGCTTGTTAGATATTTTAAGCACTGAACAGCCTGGCTTGAGCGACGCATTGCGTAAATAGTAAATACCTATTGCAAAGGCCGGGGTGTTATCGACGATGTCACAGCTCGAGTACCTAAACTAGATTGATGTATCGTGATCGTAAAGTAGTGCAATAATTACCTTCAGATGTGCTACATCGGAACGATGCCTTATTGATTTCAAAAAGGCGAAAAATATACAACGCATCACGTCGTGTTAATATCCTAATCCACCAACACTATAATATCCCCGGTTCCCCCGTGTCGTAGCCCAGTGGCGCTGTTGGACAGCGGTTCGCGTCAGCGTTCCTCACCGATCCTGTGCACTGCGTAGAGCGCCAGCAGGCCGGGCGTCCAGACGACCAGGTACGGGTCGGCCCACTGGCGGTCCAGGCTCCACGAGTGCAGACCCACGCTCAGCGCCAGGTAGGCGGTGTTCAGCGCCAGCGTGGCCCGGAATCTGGTCAGCAGCACGCCCACCAGGCCCGCCTGCCGCACACGGCCGCCGGACTCAGTAGGTATTCGTGATTGGATAAGACAGTACACAACAGTACCTTGCGAGGTTCACGGCAGCCTGCGATCGTATCAGTCGAAGTTAACGCCATGCGGCTCAAACAGATACGGGTAAGTAACTTGTCTCCTTTAGGCATGACAGACAATTTAGAAATCAAAACATTTCGCGGCTACTGACCTGAAAAACGTAGGTACTGACGAAGTTGAGAAAAACGACGATCAGCGAGAACACTAGCGCCACATCTTGTATGCTGAAATCAAGACAAAGTTGAACATTGGTCACAAGAATGATGGGTTTGCGCTATCACCAGCGTCCAGCGGTCACAGCTCGGATTGAAAGGAGCAGGGGCAGTTGGCGAGGTGGATGTTCAACTCCAGGTCATGCACTGCCACGACCGTTGTGCTGGAAAACCGGGTCCAAAAGACACCCCGATTCCCATGATCTTCCCTCTCTCTGTGGCGCCCGACGCCCGTGAAAGATACAATGACACCTCATCTTTTGCCGGTGATAATTAGTGTCCCACCCTCCGCTGCACTGGCTGACAGGTATCGGAGTACTACAGTTCTGCGGATATCCCGGGTCGATATCAGTCGATCGATAACGGCCTACACCGGGGGTCTCGCGATGTGGCCATATAAGCACAAAGGGAAGTAACAATCCAAATATATGCAGCAGTCTCCGAAATCGTGAAACGGAGAGGCGGCGAGGGGAGGGAGTACCTACCTCTGCCTTCTTGGGGGAATACAAGAGTGACGGACAGTGTCAGTGACTCGTGAGTAAGAGGGATGGAGAGAAGGCGACAGATGGAGGAGAGAGCGATGAGATGAGGGGAAGAGAGACAGACAGACAGACAGACAGACACAAATTACAGCATGCAATTGTAGACTTATTAGTAGGGCCCTTCTTCGTACTTACATGAATAAGATGAGTCTCAAGACGTTTTCCATACGCACTGTGTCAGCAACGATATTGAATATCAAATCGGCAAGTATGAACAAAGTTTGCACTCCTAGCATGTAGGTGTATTTGCTGATTGGAACCGGCATTATGATTGACTGCCGCCTCCCTTGTAAAATGTGATTACAGCCCGTCTGTGTGCAGTGTGCACACTGCACACGAATCTTAAGTAGCCTCGAGAATTTATGAACACAGATGTTCGCACTTAAAATTGATATTAACACTCAGACAATGATCCCACAACGGGCTCCGTACGGCCTCACCACGCTAAACTGAGCAACCGTCGGCTGACGGGCTGACGCCAGCTGTTGTCCGTTTGTTTTGGACGGTTGCTATGGGAACCGTGCTCCACGAAGCGGAGGAAGCCCTGTCCATGGCCGTCCCTGTACTCATACGCTGGAGTGTTATATGCACAACTCATGCGTACACTGTACAGGGACTCGAATGTATAGCCTGCTTATAAGGCCGTGTAAGCAGGCTCTTATACGTCCCTGCATATACGCACGCTAAGTACAAGTGCATGCTCTCAGTGCCATGGCGATTATGAGGGTACACTTGGACACTTGGCAGCGTAGGTCAGGACTGGAAATGCCCTGAAAGTGAGTGTTTCGGTCGCCTCAACTGGGCCCCTGAATTCCATCCGGTAGACAAGTGTTATATCGAAGCGTATTGAGTCATATCGTGTTTCAAATGCCCTGTGCATGTCCCATTTCGTCCCAGATCATATGTCACAATGCCGAGGTAATGTTCGCCCTACGCCCGCTTGATCCAAGATTTGAGCGGAGCAGACAGAGATCATACATACAGGAGCAGGAGGATAGTCTGAGTGCACGTTACCGAGTACGGATAGCGGAGGTGTTTCGGCGGCGGCGCGCGTCATCTACGGCAGGTGATGCTGCTGGATCCGGAGAGCCACCCGGCGCACTTTCCGATGAGTTGCGATACGTTTGAGGTCCTGACAACTGACTCGTCCTTCCATCACCCGAGTCCCGGCCGGGCATCTGCAGGCGCTGGGAAGCCAGTCGGGTGGGCCCGGCATCTGGCCGCCTCGCTAGGCTAGCTCGCCTCCCGGATGAAATCAGCAGGACAGGAATGTGTAAATACCAGGAAATAATCAGAGAACGAGCTATATTTGATAACACAGAACGAAGCTTCTATTGAGTAATGCAATCAACAAACAAAAGACGAGCCCAAACACCTCCCCACCACCGTCACTGTTCGGACTGATAGTCTCACACGCTTAGCACGGCCTTGACTCTCGATCACATGGATGGCAGAAGTACAACGATAATGTAGCCACAACATTTCACTGACACGACTCTCACCACGCCGGACTGATATAATGGCCGCCTGACGCGATGTGTATGCATGGACATTGGACATCTCAACCGTTTGAAATACTTTATACATAAGGGCAGATTGCGGAATCCAAATATCTATATAAGTAACTGGAATACTGTACCAGGGATTAACCATGGGCTAGCGTAGATCATTCAAAGATAGAGAATCTTTAGTGTAAATCTACACATATTTCAGCTAGTTCATCCCGCTATGGGTAAATAAAAAATATCGAAGCGAATCCCGCGGTGCTAGCCTTACCAACGAAAATTGTCATGAAGCTCGAAAATGGGCGGAAAATCTTACTCACTGTAGTGCCTGAAAGAAATCGCCAATCCAGGAATTTCGATTATTTTATCCTTTTTTACCGCAGCATTTCCATTTGAAGGCTGTTCTCTCCATGAATGCATGCTACAGGATTACACAAGGGATACTAACGCGTTTCAGCCATGCTATTGTCACATCCTCATTTCACCTAAAGATTAAACAGCCTTACCGCCGAATGCAACACCTTGGGTGTTACTCCAGAGGTCTTAATATTAAGAAAAAATAATTACTCCTCAGTACCTACTATCTGTACACTGTACAGTTGTATACCAACCGCCCGTCGGTATTTTTTCCGCGATTAACAGCAACGCCTCGTCAGTCCGGCTTAGCGGAAGCCCGGCTTTATCACGAAGTTCTCAAAGTCCATAGCATGACTCCACCTAACCACTCTTATTTACTGTGACCGCTTAGTCATTTTATCTCTGTCACAATACTGCACTCAGCGGGTGGTCGTTTCGCCCCTGGCACCGGCTCAGTCGGTGTTAACCTTTGTTTCAGGCCTAACCCCTGTCTCTAATCTTCACTCTGTGCCCTTTCTAGCTCCGTGGTGTGAAACCGCACTCCGGTCAGCTGAGCACTGAGGTCCCACAGACTATCCATGGCGCGCTCGTCCTGAGCCACAGGGGCGTACTGGGCACGCTTGCAGTCGACGTACATGTGACCCGACTCCTTTTCCAGATCCTCGGAAATGGCGCAGTTGAGCTGCGTCTGCACGCCCTGGCCTACGGTGCGCATGAACAGGAACATTATTGGCAGGGCGGGGATCATTTTCAGCCAGGAGAGTCGCGAGTGTCGAGACAGGCCGGTGTACACCCACCCGGGACAGCACGAGTACACGTGCACGCCGCTCCCCTCGAGCAGCCGCGCCAGCCGGCGGCCGAACAGCACGTTGCACAGCTTAGAGTTGGCGTAGGCCGGGTTTAGGTAGCCCTCCTGTTTGAGGTTGTCGCCGTTGGCGATGTGCGCCAGGTCGAAGCGGCCGTTCTTGTACAGACCTGAGGCGACTATGACGATGCGCGAGGACGTACCCGTCTGGAGTCGATCCAACAGCAAGCCCGTCAACATAAAGTGGCCCAGGTGGTTGACACCGAAGTGGATCTCGTAGTTTTGGGCGGTGCGCTTGTGCGCCTCCACCGGATAGACGACGCCGGCGTTATTCATCAGCACATCCAGACGGCTGAACTGCTCCTTGAAGTGACGAGCGAACGATTTGATAGAATCGAAGTCGGCGAGGTCCAGCTCCATCGGAATCTGCAACAAACACCAATCGACATATTATGGGAGAACTAACGGCCCATTAATTTTGGTACAGCCGCAGTGCTTTTATCACCAGTTCAATTACCGCAATAACAAAACAGCTTGCAGTGGTAACACATCAAGGGAAAGTAAAAACACAAAGGCTACCGTAAGACTTATGGTGCCACGCTAATAACATTTTAATTATTTTTTAGGAGATTTTCTTTCCGCATGGTTTAATGGTGAATACGGGCCACGCCCAGGGTGCCCGCTAAAAAAAAAATATGCGTAACACCAAGGGACATCAATTTTACCACCCCGCTCGCGCCCGAGGGCTGTTCACGGGCCCTGTGTGCGGTCGGACCGCACACAGCCTCCAAGCTCCGCCCACTGCGTCCCTACGTCAGCCTTCCGTCACCGCACACAGCGATCGCTGTGGCCGGTCGGGACTGGCCACAGGGCACAGCGGACCGTCCACCGCACGCAGCCGTGACGTCAGAGCCGCCTACCCATCCCCTACCCCCACGCCTGCTGGACGCACCGCACACACCGCACGCAGCGGTGTGCGGTGCCCTTGAACACCCCTCCGGTTACTCACTGGTTCACCGGTAGGTATTTGGGCTGAGCGTTAAACATACTTTAGTAGATGGCGACACCGCGCTCTGAGATTTAGTGCGGCCCTTTCTCGCCAGGTGCCCTTTCTCGCATTGGTTACATAATGCGTGGACGAATGCTAGCGGACTTATGTAATCATGCCGGTCCAGTAGTTTGTTGATTTTTCACTCGATATCACCGTAGTGTATCGTATTGCCTGCATTAGCTTGCATTGTGACATGCTACATTGCAATTAAAAAATATTTATCAAATATATCTCATTAATAGGCGCAAAAAGCATAAAAAAACACTTCCTATCCAATTAGCTTGAATAGCTTGGATATTGGATAGAGCCGGAGGTCAAGCTAAGCACCATGGCAAAGCAGAGCTTATTGCGTAGGCCGCGACCCTACCATGTGATCGGGCAATTCCAGGTAACGGGAGAATTTAATTGTCACAGTTAAACGTAGTGCCTATCACCCGTCACCGTCAAGACAGGGCCAATCCGATCCAATCGACTTCAACCATTGATCTTCAACCAACTGACTGAGGTCTGTCCCCACCAGCCTCGGACCATCCCCGTCATGAGTCTCGTATATCGTGCGCCTGAGCGGCTCGAGCCAGCGCTTTCACCGCCGGGAGTCCAACGCTCTACCAACTGAATATCCACGGGAAAGGCTTTAAGTTTTAACACCCTCGAATTCCATTCTCCTTCCCTCCCCTGCTGCTGCTTACCAGCTGTCCGTTCTGCGTGTGCCTCCGAATTTTCTGCAGCGCCTCCTCTGCCTTTTTCATGTCGCGGCATGCCATGACGACTGCGGCACCGCGCTCAGCCAGCAGGCGCGTGCTCTCGAGGCCGAGCCCGCTGTTGGCGCCAGTCACCAGCACCACCTTGCCGGTCATGTCGCGCTGGCTGGTGCACCGGCCCCACTGTCGCACCCGCCACCGTCGCACCAGGTACAGGCCCACGGCTACCGCGCCTGCCGCGCACAGGTACGACGGCAGACCCATCGTGCAGCGCAGATGACTCTTCGTCCACTACCTGCCAATAAAATTGCATGGTTAGTATGAGTAGTAAAGTTATCTTGGTTAGTATGTCATGTACAGTGGGTCTACAAAATAAGTTCCCGCCGTATGCGGGTCACCAGTGGGCAGTTAGCGCCTGAGCGCTACTCGGGCGCCACCTGCCCGCATACGAAGAGGACTTATTTTGTAGACCTACTGTACACTGTATAGTAAGGTGACATATCCATGGAGAGGAGGAGAAGCTTGCTTGCAACATTTTTCAACCCAGTTGGTTATAAAGAGGAAGTTAGTTCTCTTAATATCTAGGTCAACTTTTTGTTTGTTATACTTAAAGTTTATATAGGTATGTAAAACGTGCACTTTGAGTCAAACTAAGGTTATGATGTGTTAGTTCAGGTGACCTAACTCTGAGTTAAGTCAGGTCAGGTCAGGTTATGTAATGTAATGTTTATTTCATCTCTTCTGGTTGAAATAACTGTACGAAGACCTGTCCAAACAAAATTTGTCATGGAATTCTTGAAAGCCCATAACCACAAACTTGTTTAGGTTGTTTTGTTGGGTTAAGCCCTTTCGGTCTGACAAGATCACTTCAGAGCTGGAAGGATGACAGGAATTAGGAAGAGACATTGGTCTGGGCAGGAACCTAACCCTAGTGAATTGCTGGGGCTGAGCCCATGCCAAAGCGATTGGACAGGCCGCCCCCAGCCCCCAAGCGGCAAGCACTCACTGCACCTAACTACAGGTGTGCTCCAATGGAGCTGTCCGCATGAGATTAAGTTACCCGTCCAGCCCGGATCGGAGAGTAGAGGCGTTGATTGAGAAGGATTCGACCCCCTAAGGATGGAAACGACGGAACGGTGAAACCCACAACCGCATTCAGCATTGGCATGGCTGAATTTAAATTGGCACGTACAACACAAAATTGGCAATAGTCTTCAGTTCGCTATCAGGGCACATTATTTCAACTTATTGCTGACCTGAAAATGATGTAGATACTAATGAAAATCTTGATGAAAATGATACAGGTAACTAAAATAAATAACAAAGAGAAATAATATAACTGCTGCACCTCAAATGTATCATAACATATCAAT